GAGGATTTATGCAAGCTTTACTCTTTCTTTAACTTTTGAAATAAAAATGTACATCTAATTTAGCACTTCACCTTTAAACTCCCCAGGGAAGCCCCCAAGTACATAAGCAGAGAGAAATAAAGACTTCTGCAGGCCAGAAATTAATTCACCTGGGGGCACACGCCAGGCAGGTTCTGCATCTGATCAGCTTTGGCAAACCTGAGATTTTTGGCTGGCTGGCTGGGGAATTCTGGGAATTGAAGACTTAAAAGTTACGGAGGTTGGAGACCCCGGTTTTAGGCAGTCTACCAGCACAGTCTTAACCCTGGTTAGCCAGCCCTCCATGCCGCTGTAAGCTTACCTGCAGGATTGGAGCAGGAGATCAAAGAAAATTCCTCCCCAAGTCTCCCTACTTAAGGAGCGCCCCCATATTCCAGAGCAATCTACCTGCAAACCCAGATGCTTTAGGGAAGAACCAACCCCACCCCCCGCGCCCACCCTGCTAGATCCTGCAAAGACCCCAAAGCACCCAAGCGACTCCGGTGCCGCGCCCGCAGAGGGACCCCTGCAGCTTCTGGGCTGCGTTCACACGACACGGGACGCCCGGCTAACACGCGTCTCCTTCTATCCCGAGAGGCTGCCCAGCCCTTTCCCATGGAGGAGGGGGGCTCTTCCCTCGCCCTCCATCCCTGCCCCTCCTGCCCAGCTCGACCCCAACGGCGCGCGAGAGGAAGGCAAGGGCGAAAGGGACCACGAGCAAGCCGAACGTCCCCCCGGAGGCTCCCAGCGAGCGAGCTGGGAGGGAGAACCGGCGGTTCGGTTAACCGGCCGGGCCGAGGGAAACGGTCAGTCCCATTAACAGTCAGCCCGGGCGCAAATCCATCATCCTGAAAAATAAAGACGCCAGTCCGAAGGAAGGGAGGGAGGGAGGAAGGAAAAAGGATGGAAGGAAAGAAAAAAGGAGGAAGAGAGAAAGGAAGGAAAGGAAGGAAGGAAGGAAAAAAGGAAGGGAGGGAGGGTGAGAGGAAGAGAGGAAGGAAAAAGGATGGAAGGAAAGAAAAAAGGGAGGAATGAAGGAAAGGATGGAAGAAATGAAGGAAGGAAGGAAGGAAAGAAAAAAGGAAGGGAAAAAAGGAAGGAAAAAGAAAAAGGATGGAAGGAAATGAAGCAAGGAAGGAAAGAAAAAAGGAAGGAAGGGAAAAGGATGGAAGGAAAGAAAAAAGGAAGGGAGCAAGGAGGAAGGAAAGAAAAAGGATGGAAGAAATGAAGGAAGGAAGGAAAGAAAAAAGGAAGAAAGGGAAAAGGATGGAAGGAAAGAAAAAAGGAAGGGAGCAAGGAAGGAAAGAAAAAAAAGGATGGAAGGGAAGGGAAGGAAGGAAGGAAAGAAAAAGGATGGAAGAAATGAAGGAAGGAAGGAAAGAAAAAAGGAAGAAAGGGAAAAGGATGGAAGGAAAGAAAAAAGGAAGGGAGCAAGGAAGGAAAGAAAAAGGATGGAAGAAATGAAGGAAGGAAGGAAAGAAAAAAGGAAGAAAGGGAAAA